TTCATACGAGATTGAAGAGCAACATTAATAATATCATATGTTGCCATATAGTTATTAAGGAATGTTTTATTAATAATAATCATCAGTTTCTATTATTCACGACCTCCAGAAGAAGGCGTAACCGCACAAGTTTAACTTTTAAATCAACTATTAAACAGGGATTTGAAATTAATGATATTAGAGATAAACACATGTATGATGAAATGAAGACACTTCACATGTTCACGTGAAGACTTGGAGACTTGAAGGTGCAAATTCAATTTAGGAGGATCGAAGTTCAATGAATGATATTTTACTACATATGAGAAGATATCCAACCATATTGGATTCATTGATGCGACACTAGAAGATCTCAAGTTATGTATTCATAAGGGGGAGAAAATACGCGCTATACTCTTTTTCCCTTGACCATGGTTTTGTCCCACATTGGGTTTTTCCTGGTAAGCTTTTTAATGAAGCAGCAACTTGAGCATATTACGTACAAAGAATGTTGTACTCTTTTTCCTTAATTAGGTTTTTATCCCATAGGGTTTTTTCTATTAAGGTTTTAACGAGGCACAATCTTCAATAATGGACATCCAAGGGGAAGTCTTATGAAATATTGGGTGGATGCCCATTATCCTTCTTGTATCATCCTGAATATTCTAGATCTAGGATTTATTATTATCCAAGCAAACCCTAATTATATTGTATGTATATATACCCCATCATATGGAATAAAGATATACACATTAATTCTCTCTTACTCATTGTCCACGTACAAATTAAACATAGTTTGCGTTCCTTAAGAGAAATAATAGGCTATATATTTTCAAACCAAAAAAAAAAAAAAAAAAAAAAAAAAAAAAAAAAAAAGAATTTAATAAATATAGCTATTTTTATTATAACTTATTAGTTATTAGTTACATGCATGCTCCATACTTATACGAGTACATTTTTTACAACAATTTGTAGAAGCTTTGTTCGAGCAAGCCTATAATGGTGCAATAAGAAGTACATACTCTCCTAGACAAAAAATAAGAAATAAAAAAAAAAATTCAAAAAAAAAAGATGAAGAAAAGAATAAAAAGTAGGTCATATTCATAGATTTCCATGTTTTATTCATGATCACTTAAAGTTAATTGCTCCATCCTATACTGTAGGAGTTTATTCATTTGTTATATCCATGTGACCATATGTCCATGTCAATAATGAAGTATCTGTTATGCATGGATGCAAAACCTAAGTTTTGTTTTTTTTTTTAAAAAAAATAAAATCATTTTCCTACCTATTTTGACTAATTTTCATCATCTATTTGTAGTCTTTAATTTTTTTTTTTTTTAAAAATGTTTTCTTTTCAAATACAGTATGTATATTATCGCCTTTTTATTTGGAAATTCAAATCAAATGATTTTCTATACATATTGTATATAAGTGCAACTAATATTGATAACGAATTTTATCATTTACTTTTCTTGAGTATAAGCTCACTTTACTTATTCTAACTCAACGATTCAAATCTTCGCTTTCTCTTACTTGTTCTCTCTCTCCATCCATTATACGGATCGGAGTACTAAATCTTTATGTCAACTACCAAAAGATAATTAGAGAAACATGAAAAATAATGAGGCGGAAAGAGTAGTTGTCATTATAGATGGGGGAAAACATAAAATAACATTATACTGTACATAATATACGTAATTTTAAATTCTCCGCCTATGCTTTTTGAAAACAGTCCTTTTTATATCATTCTTTGTCATCTAATGTTGAGAATTTGAATATATGCATCCAGCTTCACCCTGATGAACAATGATGCCATTCGTTTCAACTTTCAAGCAAGAGAAAATATTTTTTGCCAGCCTTTTTGATGCGAATCGATGATGCCTAAAGCCAAAAGGCCCCTTCTTCTCCTTGTTGTTATTGCTCTACTCATTTGTTGCCTATATATTTATTGGGTTGTAATGTTATAAAAGAGGGATAGATGTAATTGCACTTTTGCCAGTTAACCATACTATTCCAGCTTTTTACCGATATTGCAAATTTGGATTACACAACCTCTTGGTAAAAGTAAAAATGTAAAATCAAATAAGCTAAAAATAGAGTGTGTGTTCTTCTTTTCTCTGAGTAGAGAGATGGATTTAGAATATTAGCCATCATTGCTACCAACAATAGCTTGGCCCAATTCTTCTAGCATCTAGATATTAATCATATAATACAAGGTTTAAAAAAAAAAAAATCAAAAAAGTACACTTTATATATAGTATAGGTCAAAGGCTAATTCTTGTATGGGACGGAGTTACAAATTTGTAACTTACAATGATGTATTGTGATTTTGTGAGACCAAGAGTTGTAATGTATTGTAACAAAGTTTTACCGTATCCGCCTTAAAAAATAATGTTTCACCATGTCCAAGTCTTGTTTATTTTTGTAGTTTAGCTTTAGAGGCTTTTGGGTGCTTAAGGGTGTGTTTGTTCGCTTCAACTTGTTTTAATTTATTTGAATTCAAGTGAACTTATTTGTTGTTTTTTCAAGATATATTGCTTGAACTTTTAAAACTTGTTTTGTATTCTAAATTAACTTATCCAAATGTATTAGTTGCACAATTCAAACTTATTATGTATTACCCCTAAAAAAATATAAAATAAGCTAAACATAACATCAATCACAACACTTGGCCAATCAATAATAATCATTTTTTAGGGGGACAAATAATTCTGAGGTAGCCTGGTGATTTAACAGGGATGATCATTAAAAGAGAAGAAAAGCAAAGGAAAAAGAATAACTCACTACTCCGTATTTTACTACTGTGCAAATTTTTACTACAGTTAGAAGTCTGCTGAGTACATTTTGTTTTTCACTAACGTAGCTATAATTAATACCCAAATTTAAATGAAAGGTACCGGGAAGATCTATAATTGATTAATTGGGTTATAAATAAAATAGATCATGATCTTTCAATCAATTGATACAAAAAGGAAAACAACTTTTCTATGCATTGGGTTGGACCACAACACTATTTCATGTAGAATTGGATACTTCTTGCTGTATAAATTAAAATTAGTTAATTACTCATGCAATGGGCATACAATTGGGCAACGAGTCTCACATTTAAGTTTTCGGATTATAAACAATAAATCTCGATCACTTATTACACTATAAGTCTCAGATTATAAATCCGTCACCCCTAAACACAGAGTACCTTACGAGTCTGTCACACTCAATACTTTATGTTCAGCATTAATTTATTTTCAAGACTATATATTTCACAAAATTAGCAAATTAATTTGTTGAGCTAAATACCAATATTAAACAAGTATCTACAGTATAAGCAGTACCCTGTAATGCAACAAACCACTAATTAACAAGTAACATGATTGTCAATTACTATAATAATTATTATTAATAACAACAACAACAACTAAATTATGCGCTAATGTGTCTAATTGTACCTAACCTTATCCGGAAAAAAAGATGGTTAGTTTGATAAGAGAGGTAAATCTGAGCATAAGATTGTGGCGGCCAATTATTTCCCCAATTTTCGCCACCATTCACTCCGTGACAACGGAGTATCTTTGCTTGTTTTGCTTCTTACCATTGCTCTAAACCACCCCTTTGATTTAATTTAATTTTATTTAATGTTAATATAAATTCCATGTATTGTTTTTTCTTTTTAATTTTGTTTGAGGAAGTAAAATAATTTGAATTTTCTAAAAGGAAAATTAAAATCATAGGAACATAAACACGGGTACGAGGAAGAAATCCGGGGTTCGTTATTGGCTGCTGCACAATCTCCTAGCAGTAAGGGCCAGTTACTCTTCCTAGAACCCAACAATGACTACTTCACTTCACTGCCTTAAATACAAGGAAATTTCTGTGATTTAGTCAGAATTTTACTACGGAGTACGGGAGTAGTGTATCAATTAATTAACGTAAAAAGACTTTAAAAAGGTGGGAAATTAAACACAAAGTACTGTGGATTAGCTTTAAAGATTGCTCTATTTTCCAATTTGATGTTTCCGTTTAAGATTACTTAATTTGATAATTTATTCAATTTTTCAATTATTTTCTCATATCTTCGTACAAAAAATATTAATCCATCACTACAGTTCTTTAAAAAAAAGAACATTTGTAGAATAAAACAAACAATTGAGGTAATAGATAACTATTTCCGAAAGTTTCTAACATTTACTATTTAGATACAAATTAATACGAAGTAAGGAAAAAAAAATGAAAAGGTGGATAAAGTGTTAGAGTAAGTGTAATATGGTGAGTAGTTATAAATAAAAAATTGAAAAAAATTAGATAAAGTATAAGAAAAGGAGTGAAAATATATAAATATTGTGGGATGTAAGGGTAAAATAGTAAAAAAAATGCAAAAAAAAAAAATACAAAGAAAGTGTTACTCACTTACTCCATAGGAACCTTCATGGACAAAAATGAAAAATTGGGTATTATAACAATACAAAGTAAGGTGTATTTAGTTTACTAATTCATTGTTGTTGCGAGTACTTTTGATATTGTTTTGACTTTCTACACAAAATTTGTTTAAGAACTTTGACTATTTTTTAACTACTTCGTTATACAAGGTATATTCGGAGTGAAAATGTTAGTGTGAAAAATAGTAGCATTGCTAATTGAATTATATATGAAACTAATGTTTAAAAATTAAAACTACAAATAAAAATGTTTTTTGTAATTGAGGTTACAAACACACCTAATTAGCTAGGTACGTAATCTTTTCGACTTTCTTACAAATAGATTTTTACCTGTGTTTTCTAGAATATATATTAGACAAAAAGTTGATAAACTTTAAATATACAGTCATACAAAAGTATAGAGTATGTGTATTTCTTTAACGCTTATGATCTAAGAGTTAAGTGTAAAACACAGTGAACAAATATGCATATAATTCCTAATTTCCTACCACTAATTACGTGATTAGATATAACCTAAGCTAATGATGTATGTTTTGAGCTCAAATAATTTAGTAAATAAAATTGTGAAATTAGCTAGAATTCATATAATAGTATAACAAATGAAGCAGAACGCATGTATATTAGCAATATATACACAGTACAGATGATTGTAGATCCTCAAATGGTTAATAAGTTACATACAATTCGTACTAGCTTAGTTAGCTAAAAACTATTAACCCGCCCCAATTAGTGCTAGTTAATAATCATTTTTTTTTACTCTTGCAGTTTAATTTGCTACATATATAATCAATGAAATACACAAAATATAACAAAGACTAATTAATTAATAAATTAATCAGATGAACAAATCCATGAATCTATCATACCTTCACCCTTAGCGACACCTACATTATTATCCGAGGCGCCATTGACAGCAGCAGCAGCAGCAGAAGTAATAGCACTGATGCCGCGGTAGTTTCCAGGTGCAGGATTAACAGAGCAGCTAGTCTGAAGAGGTGTGACAGTAGTACACCCGAGACTCATGCTCGAATCATGCTGATGATCAGTTAATGCAGAAGAAGTTTGTTCGAGGAGAGACTGAAAGCTGAGCTGAGGGTTGGTGCTAAGAAACTGTTGAGGATCACACATATGGAAATTGGCAGATGATGGTGCTGCTATACCACTGGTGTTGATACTAGTGCTAGCCGTAGTAGAAGTTGGAGTCGCGGACAATCCTAGACCATCAATAGTACTAGTATTATTAGTAGTATGCGAAGGAAGAGAGGGATTATTGGCTAAATACGGTGGTTGTTGAAGAGGAGGTATCTTTTGAGGGAAAGGCCTTAAAAGATAAGTAGGAGGAGGCACTACGGAGCTAGTAAGACCACCTAAGCCACCAAAGAGATCGAATCGAGCTCGAGTGGAGAAGGCGGTGAAGGGAGGTGAAGGGATACCAGTAAACTCCTGGACCATTTGTCTGAAATTGTTGGTGTCGGTAGTCAACACAGTAGTAGGCGCTCTCCTAGAAGCCCTGGACCTCTTCTTGGGGTTTCGACCTGATCCGGTAATAGTTGGTGCTGTTGAGGACAGTGGCGAAGTGACGGGCGGGGATGGTAAAGGTAAAGGAATTGGCCGAGGTGGGTTTTGTTGTTGGTGGTGGTGGTTGTTGTTGGGTATGCTGTAGCCAAAAGGACCCTCAGTGCAATTGGCATCATCGGTTGATAAAGACGGTCGAATTGAAGAGAATTTGTTGGGCCACACCATGTCTAGCTGATTATTATTATTATCATTATTATTGGTACCATTATTATTATTATTATTATTACTAGTAGTATTATGGTTAATCATAAAGTTTGGACACTCAAGTGAAGAAGATTGTGATAAAGTAGGTGGTTGATCAAAATAGTTGGATACTTGATGATTGCTGTTACTCAAAGAGTAAAGTTGAAGCGGAGCACCACCACCTATATTGCTCAAGTTTGACATGGAGTTAAAAAACGCGGAGATAGACTCACCGGCGCCACCGCCACGTGAGTCGTACTCTTGATCATCTCCACAACCACCACCGCCACCGCCACCACCCGTGCTCGAAGACTGCATACTACCACAGTTCTCTGAATCCATGTCTCCTGAGAATTTTAAGATAGATAAATAATTCAAAAACATACACTAATAATATCATCAACAGCTAGCATATATTATACAAAGACAGATTCGTTGACTCAGTAGAAAGTAAGGAGACAAAGAAATCAGGGGTTAGAGAAAGTTACCCATGAAGCTTTTTACGAAGATCTGCAAAAAGACGATCTGGGTGATCAAGTAAAGTGGGTGTTGATCGAGTTATTAAACTTTTATTTTAAAGAAGCAAAAAGGGTGGTTGGAAAAGCAGCAGATGATGTCCAAGTTGAGCTTTTCAGCTAGCAAAAATTTTGAAGAAAAAAAAAAAGTGAGTAAAAAGATTTAAGAATAGAAATGGGTATGGTTAGTTTGGGGAGGTGATAGTGGTGGCTTTAGAGTGGAAAAACCAGGTCCGTTGGCAATGGCCTGAATTAGGGATTTCGTATTCCGAAAGAAAAGAAGATGAACATGAAGAGAGAGAAACAAAGAAAGGGATGAAAAAGGAGAAAAGGAAAGGAATTGAGTAGACAAGGGAGTACTTATTTCCCTTTTCTATTTTATTTTTTTTAATTTTTTTTACCCATGATGAAAGGTAAATTAATAAAAAAAAATTAATTGAAAAGATAAAAAGTGAGGAGGAGGAGGCAACTAAACAAGGGACTCTTTCCCACGTTTCAACTTACTTCATCCTTTTTTAAAAAAAAAAATTGCACCTTGAAGGAGTTCACGCTTGCCAATACATTATTTTAACTATTAATATCTTTAATGACAATATTTTTCATTACAAATAAATCACAAAAAATGATCAAAGAAGGTTATGTAAATAATGTAAAATTGTTTATGGTGCAATAAAAGAAAAATCGATGAAGTAATACTTTTTTTTTGGTGGATGACGACACGACTCTTCAGTTTACCCTCTATTTTCAATTACAAAGTTGTATGAGGTTGAGTTAAATTTATTACTCGTAAAATATTACTTCCTTCGTTTTTTTATAGTTGCAACAATAATTTGACTTTTACACTATTCATATGTTTCACTTTGACTAGCTTTGATGGTTTATAGTTAGGTAAAAATATAATCATGTGGAATCTTGTTAGATACGTCTCGATTTATACTATTTTAATATCAAATGTTTATAATTTTTATAGGCAAAAATATAGTCATGTGGAATCTTGTTAGATTCGTTTCGATTTATACTATTTTAATATCAAGTGTTTATAATTTTACATATTGATAATTAAAGATATTAATGATTGGAATCATGCATCAGCAAACGTGAAAAGAGAAGTGTTGCAACTAAAAAAAACAAACAGAGGAAGTATATTAGTGGCTATTTGTTGGTCAATTAATACCTCCATTTCATATTATTTGCAACGATTAGACATTTTTTACTCACATTTTATGTCAAATCGTTGCAAATAATATGAAACGAAGGTAGTAAAGAGTACAGAGTAATGAAAAAGTGATAGTCGATGATTTGTTTATATAACATTAAGGAATGTGATAAAATAGAAATACAAGGTAATAAAAAAAGTGCTAGTAGAGACTATGTGAAGAGAGATATAATAAAATAGTGTTAATAATTCCAATAAAATAAGTGTTGCAAATAAAAAAAAAAAAACTATGGTTAACAAAAAAAAAGGCCACAAACATGTAATTCCATCGCAATAATAGCTAGTATTTGAATTTCCCGTCAAACTAACAAACAAAATACGAGGTAGTACTCAATTCTAGTTATTTTTCGCTCAAAACTAATATTGAAAATTAGGTAAAACCGTTTCCTACTTTTAGTCACAATGTTGAACTATACGAAGTAACATTCCAAGACTATTCTCATAAACTAGTTAGCAACTTAGCATAGAAGATGCCTGAACTTTAGTAATCCTCAATTTTGCATCTTTATTTGGCAGAACGACCTCCACCAATGTACTATATAGATTAAATCGAATTTTGGAGCAGAATAAATTTGAAAGAGTACATCAAATACCTTTTAGAATTTTTTATTAGATGAGATGATCAAACAAGCAAAACACATGTAGGAGTAATTTGGTAATCAAACTAGGAACTAACAAGTGGAGATCGGATTCCCGAACAACATACACCTACAAATTCTCTCCTCAACTATCCTTACCTATTTCAATTGAAAGATCAATTTCACAAATCTCTTATTAGTCGTATTTTAAGGTTATTAATTCTAGTTTACATATTGTAATGCAAAACTAATAATCTTGTAAGATTTTCTTATATATATAAAAAAAATGAGAGCACTTTAAAATGTTGGGCATATAGCTCATTAATATTAATGGCAACTGGCAAGGTATAAATTGAAATATTTGAATTTTAACGATTTGATATTCTCTAAATGAGTAAGGTATTTAAATTTTATCATTAGAGATCCTCCAAGACACTTCCCCTCTACATTTAAAATATCTTAATATTGATAAAACATAAAAAAAAATAAAAAAAAAAAAAAAAAAAAAAAACATCTTATAACTTATGGTTGATAATTATTAGTAATTACTCCACTTTTGACTAATTCAAAATAGTTAATAGTGGCATAGTGCCATAGTAGGGTGTAGTAGATATGAGTCAATGTCAAGAACTTCAGTTTTGACATTAATTATACTTAATCAATCTAATTTGATTAGGTTCTACATCTCTCACTAAACAGGAAAATAAACTTACCTCAATATCTAATATTGACAAAGCAAAGAATGCAGCTTAACAAATCCTTATAGTGATCTAGTCATACCTTTGAGCTCGAATCTTTGTTTTCAATGCACATTAATCACTCATCTTTAATTGACATCATCACCTGTCATATGTACTTATATACCTATAAATTTTAGAGGAATTTATGTGGTCACTAACTCTAAGTATATATCAAAGTAGGAAAAAACAAACTTATTACTGACAACATAAGGTCTTTTTAGGGGAGGATCATGGAGGGGGTTTGCCCCTCCATCTCCCTCAGGAGTGACCTGGGTTCGATCTTCCTCCCACCCTTCCTGTGATAGGAGGAGCGCCCCCCGTATCTTACTGAGTAAAAAAAAAAAGTTCCTTTTAGGGATTTATATGAGTTTTTTTGTTCTTATGGGCAATTAGAATGAGATTTGCATTTTTATCGATTTCAAAGATTTATTAGTAGTGCATCATAGTATAGGGGGGCCAAACAAGATACTCTATAACTTTTCAAGTAAGTGATAAAAGACAGAGAAATGTCAAAGTTTTTTTTTCATATAACTCTACCTTTTCGTAAAGGCAAAATCTTGTATGAGACGGTCTCATAATATATGATCGTGAGGAGGAACTAACATCTAACGAGTAGCATATTTAAAGACAACTTTCAATACCTCTTACCATCTATCATTTGAACAAGAAGCAATCTGAAGTTGGGTGCACCTATTATCAACCAAAGGAAAACGCTTTACTATTTACTTATGTTAGTAATGTACGAGTGTACCACCTAGAACCCTAGAAGTGTTTGATGCACGCTCGCACCTAAAATTATTGACTTAAGCCGTAGATGGGCTTTGCTCCACAATGGGCTGGTAAGTGGGCCTACTCATCATTATTTTATTTCCGCAATGCAATGTATCCCATAAAATCATAATTATATTCCTTTTCAACTTCTTTTAGTTTTGGTTTCACAACATTACTTCGTTTGTTTGTGTTTTTGTTGTCACTTTTTATGTAAAAATAAAACGCGTTATCAAAACAGGTGTAATTCAAACTGTATCCAATTTCCCTAGAAAAGTATATATAAAAAAAAAAAAAAAAAAAAAAAAAAAAAAGCAGTATCCAATTAATAATCCTAAATTTTGATTCTAAGCTAATAAAAGTTAGTCAAGTACTAGAATCCATAATGAGCTAAATGTAGGCAAAAGAACAAAAAATTCTCTTGGTTACTCCTAATTCTAGAGGTAAATACTTTTTCCTAAAATTTATTATCTTATGCATTACATGAGTTTACATTTAATAATTAAAAAAAATCCTCTAAAAAAAACACAAAAAAAATAATGTAGACAAAATTTATTCTCGTCTCGGGTATAAATCACTATCTTTAATTTTTGTTAGATCCTGTGGAAACAAGGAGGATCTTCTATATTAAAATTTGTTACCAAAAGTTAAGTATTTATATTTTTAGTTAGAGATTGAATGTTTAAATTTTGATCCGTCTATTATTTTAAAAGTGGATACTAGTGAGTGGAACAATTGACTTAGTCACTTAACTAAAAGTAAAGGGGGTCCGAATCCTCCATCCCACTATTGTGTCCCATTCAATTTGATTGGTCCACATCATTTTAAATATCAATATTCATTATTTAATTTTTAATAGCAAATTACATTATATAAATTTTTACATAATTTATATTCTAGTCCTTATCTCTCTCTCTCTCTCTCTCTTTTCTCCTTTATACAATTACGTTTAATTCATCCTTCAACCTCATTATATTTTTTCTTTATACTACCTCCACAACTCTACGAATTTACCGTATGAGGTACAAAGTTGTGTTTATGATTATGCCAACGAAGTGGATTTTATAGATGCTTGAGACATTATTTTAGTGAAATACGATCTGGTTGGCAATAGTTGGTTGTAACGAGTGTAAATTTGAGAGAAGTGGGCACTAGTTTATGGGAGACAGACAGTCTGTGCTGATATGAGTACAACACAACATAGCGAAAGTATGAATGCTCAATTAAGGAGGTATAGTAGTAATAACAAGTTGTTGTGGATGATCTCATTTACGGGTGTAAGTTTTTTGCATTTTCAATTTCCTAAAGATTTTGAATTTACAGTCAAGTTGTATCTTTACTGAATTATGAATTTTAATAATAATGATTGATATGCTCGGTCTGTTTTACCATGTCTATCAAGGGTTTTTCGTAGAGTTATGGAGGTGGTATAAAGAAAAAAAATAATGAGGTTGAAGGATGAATTAAATGTAATTGTATAAAAGGAGAAAAGAAAGAAAAAAAAAAAAGAGAGAGAGAGATAAGGACTAGAATATAAATTATGTAAAAAAATTTATAATTTAATTTGCTATTAAAATTAAATAAAGAATATTGACAAGTGAAATAATGTGGACCAATCAAATTGAATGAGACATGGAATGAAACACAATAGTGGGATAGAGGATTTGGACTAAAGTAAAGGACCGGTAATTTACGGGAAATGGGGTATATAACAGATTTTTAATCTCAAGTATTCATGTGGTGCATGTGAAAAAAGAAAGATTTTCCTAAGCACTATGATGTTGAATGATCATTGAAAAGGGAATTCATCATAATTCTCTCCAAATTGATTGGGGGATTCAAAACCCGAGCAAGATTTGCTTAATTATGAATTTATGATATACTTATCTAGATTAAGTGCTTATTAAAGCTTATGCAAGAGACGATTGCCCATTATAAATTGCAACTTTAAAAAAATATATTCTTCAAATCAGAATATATATATTTTTTGTTTTCTCTTTTCCTGATTTTTTTTTCCCTTTGCCGTTAATTCCCTACTTCCATTGGGAATCGATATACATATAATTGAGTAAAATAATTATAGAGTACCAAGTCATGCCGGATAAATACTTATAATATACTTTCTCCGTTTGCTAATTATTACACCGTATAGGTTGGACACAATAATTTTGGTAGTGGGAAAAAGAAAGAGAGAGAAAAGTAAAAATATTAAATCGTCCACGTGATGTAAACATAAACTAAAGAATAAGTGTGAAAAAGTAAGAGTAAGTTGGATATTCGTAGTGTGAATAGAGATATTTTTTTGTCTCAAAATGAAAATGATGCAATATTTATAAAACTTTTAAAAAAACAAGTGGTGCAATATTAAAATAACGGAGGAAGAAGTATTGACATAGGTAACACTGTCATGAAATGCATTTTAAAAGAGAAGTAGGGATGGCATACTAATTAAAATAAATAAATAAACATGCCGTTCATCTATCACCCCGTGTCGGTGTATAGGGTTCAATATTCACTAATAACTCCTAAAAAACTTAACACATACTCGTAGAAAATCATCCTATGTAATGTTATCTTAAAATAAGTAAATGAACACATTATATCGAATTAAGTAGTTCACTTAATTTCAATGGCAGAGTTTATTATCTTGGTATAGTACTTAGTAGCTAGAATAGAAAAGCGTCACAATCTGCGGTAGTTTTTTTCAGAAGCCACTCAATTTCATGCTGTTGGTGATGTAACAGTTCAATTTATTGTCGGGGACACCGGCAATTGGTGCTTGTAGCAGTAACCGTGTTGTGATGATTAATGGTCGGTAGCTGGAGCAACCTTTTGAGTTTTTTCTCCCCCCCTTGTTACTTTTCATTCTCATTGAATTTCTGAGTAATGTCAACGATTCAGAACAGTGTACAGAGCTACCTGAGTTGAAACAATTTCTGAACAAACCCCTTAAGCAACTTGATTACCAGGGTCCGGTTAGTTCAAATCAGTGAACATCGGTATGTGTAATTTTGAGCCAAACCATCTAGCCTGTATCAAATATTTTCCGGGTGGTCTAGGATTTCTGTTCGAAACACATAATATCTGTAAGGGATCAGAATTTGTTTCAGGTTGGGTAAATTTTCCCAGGTCTGGTGTTAAACCAACAAAATGCAATACGAGTAGAATGCAAGCTCTGCTGCTATGATAAGGGGTTTCTGTGATCAAAATTATTGCCGACAAAAAATAACAAATGCATCAATCACTATATCCCATCAATAGATAGCTACGAAGTTGACAGGAGAAGTCAATTTCCTCTAATTACTTCCAAGATTATGATGGAGGCTCTCTTTAGACAAAACAAGTACGGAACTTGCTGGTGCATTTGCACTGCTTCAAAACAAGCTATCTAGCAACAGAACAAGGACTTTGCCATGTTGATATATCCGTTATAAGATCTCGAAATTGATCTATCAGATGTTTGAGGTGCTTATTCTTATTTGCAAGATCCTGCAATTACAAAAGTAGAAAATAAATATAGACGTTTCCTCTTCCAAACCGGCACAATCATCTGCAAACCAAAATAACTTAAAAGGACTCCCTCTTAAACAAATCCCATCCTCCAATCCCATCAGCCACATCAGTCACTAGCTATTGAACAACAATCACGAGGACCGATTGTGCTATTTTAACACTATTCTTTACTACGCCATGATAAACTCCTGGACCTCACACAAGCAATCGACCTCATGCATCCATTAAAATGGAAACAATTCACAAGAGATGGACTTGTAACAGTAATATTTTTTTTTTTCTAAAATAAGAACAGTAATTTAGCTTTAACATTACCGTCTTTAAACTAGATACTTGCTCTTCTAACTTCCCGATTTCAGCCTCATCTTCAACTGAGGCAGAACCATCCATGTCTTCCTGAACAAAAGGAAAACAATTACACCAATCAGACACCTACAGACAGCAGCAGCCAGCAGTAATCCCTAGTGTTTGAAAATCCAATAATTGAATATTGATTGAAGGGGCAAAAAAATTAAGCAAACAAGAATGAATCATAACTATGATCAAAGTCAACTCCTATAATCCTATGAGCTATGGCCTACGAAATAACTCCTAACAACAGAACCATTCCTTAGCATGTGAAGGAAAATGCAGCATAAAATTGTTAATAACAACAAACAACCGAGGAAAATTTAAACTTGAATTATTTTCTGCTTTAACAAACCAACCGAAGACATTTTGCAAACGTGGTTTCCTGGGATTGATTTTTCTTTCAGCTAGACTTTTGTACAGTACAAATAGGGTTTTAACTCGATTCCCTTTATAGATCTCACATTCTCTGAAAATATTTGATGCAAAATTTCACAACCCTATGAGTCAATGAAACAAATGTCATTCACTTTTCAGAATAAACCATGTAAAAAAAGCTTCAATCATCAGCAAGGGGGGTGCACATAATATTAAGGGAAAAAATAAACTGCAAAATTCTATAGATGAATAGAAACTTGCAATAAAAGAGGAAATTACCTTGTTTCCCTGAGGCAAGGCATTGAGAACAGCACGAAGAGAAGCAACGGAAGACTTATAACGAAGACGAGCTTCTTCAAGAGCACCACCACCCATATCGAAGTGGTGAGCTGAATCTAATGAAACATCACCATTTGAACCCTCACTATGCCCATTAGCAGTGATTGTAGCGGCAGTACTAGTATCAGGAATAGCAACAGGAGAAGAGGTAGTTGTAGACCACAAGGTTGGGTTGCAAAGCTCATCATTCATTGCAGACAGGATCTGAAATGCTGCCTCAACTGTCTCTTCTAGATGCTTCTGACCTTCTGCTGCAAGCTCCTTCGCTGATTTCACGGTTTCATCGGTCATTACCTGGTCTTCCATTGTTGTACTGTTGATAATTTCAGAGATAAGACAAACCTTATCAAGTTCTAAAAATTGATCCCTAATTGCCTAATATGCTGTTGACTTCCCATCAATTATCACTAGGGAGAAGCACAATAACCATGGAGTCATCAACAAATATCTTAAACTACAAGCTTTAAAACGTTCAAGTTAACGCCTTAGTAGGTCTCTAATGTGACCTTTTTTTTTTTTACAAATTTAGTCCCAATACCCACACATTAATCCCATGAATCACACAAATCATATAGTACTGCACAAGTGCACATATAACAAGATTATTAATAACAGTATCAAAAGAATGAAGCAGCATTAGCCTCTAATTCATTCAAATATATATCGTACAGAGTACATTATACTCCTGATATGTCGTACAGAGTAACTAGCAACAAAATCGTCAATTAAGCCCCTTAGTTGGCCTCAAGCGATAGAATTTTGACATAATGAGTAACTTGTCTCATGAATTACCAAGCATCTCACCAAATAAATGCCTATGCCTACAACTATAGTCCAAAACCTCATACAGCAACTTCAGATTTCTTACAGTGACATGTTCACTCGCGTAGCTCAGAAAAGAGGGAGATTAATGGAAGATTCGGAGCCTCAGAGGACCAAAACAGAATGAAACGCGGTTTACAAGTTATAATCTCCCTCTTTTCTGAGCTATTATGTTTGGGGTTGTTGACATACTCCTGATTCGTCTTCGAAATGAAACAACCCCAAACATAACAGCTCAATGCCATAGCAGCAGTGGCGTCTCCAGGATTTCCTTAGAGGGGGTTCGAAACTTCGGAAGTTCAGAATCATGATTAACAAAGGAACAAAAATATAATAATTAAATATTCAGTACATAAGTTCAAATCATGGATTGCAAATAGATTACACAATACAAATAGAAAAAAAAAAATTACAGAAGCATTCTTCGAGATTCCTAAAAGGCAGAGAATAATTTGAAAAGAATTTTTGACTCTTTTTTCTTTTCCTAATATTTTTTTTATATATATTATTATTAATATGTATATTTTGGCTGAACTGTTTTTTTTTTTTTTTTAATAAATGATGAATTATTGCTTAATGGCTTAATTATTAGTGATTTTAGTTTGGTCTTCTCAATCTTGTTTTATTTGTATTTAATGACATATCATCCTGATTGTTTAGAAAATAATTAGGTTCTTCTGTGTAATTGGGATTGGCTTATATTATGCCTTAAGTTAACTTTGAACCTAACATTTTTTTATGAACATTGACAATATTCCATATCTAAATAATAATGCAAGCTGATCAGCATCCTTCTGTAATAATATCTGTCCATTTCACTCTAGCATTTTTGAACTAGCAGTACGCGTAATCTCATATAAACAAGCAATAAGCAACAATCAACAATTAAGTAAGCAACAATGAACAATTAAGTAATCAACAAACAAGAAACAACTTAACAACAAACAACTAAACAAGTGCGAAACTGGGAAGCAGCAAGCTCACCAGACTACCGTGGACTCGTGGAGGCTGGAGGCAAGAGGCGTCGACGCGTTTGCCGTGTGGTCGTCGTCGGACGTCGGTGGAGCAAGGAACCTGGTCGTCTGCCGTGCGATTTAGCAAAAAATATCCCCAAATTGAGAACTTGAGAAGTAAAGTAGCGAATTATAACCAATATTCAGCGATTTACAAAAAATCCCCAATTCGTAATGTATATTAGCATATGAAATTCAACGATTTAGCAAAATAAATCCCCAAATTCACTTGCCTCACTACCAGACGGCTGCGGGTCAGCAAGACTGCGAGGCTGCGCCGCTGCGGACAGTCGGTCAGACAAAGAGCCACAGAGGGACAGCCGGAACTCCGGAAGACGGGAAGAGGAGGAGGTAGAAGTTAGGGTTTTGCGATTTGGGGGAATGAGGAAGAGGAAAGCTGGGAAGGAAAAAAAAAAAAAGTGTGAATTATGGGTTTTGAACCCACAAACTCTTGTGAGATGGGATGTGAAAAAAACCACTGGACTACAGCTTTACTTATTGTCATATGATACACAACTATTCTATTTAACCTATTTCGATTTTTTTTTTTTTTTTTTAAAAAAAGGTTTTTAATTTTTTTCCAAAAAATAAATGGGTTCAATGGACCCACATTGGATCCGCCTCTGCATAGCAGCATCAAGTATGTCAACAACTCATAAGAGCCCCCAAACTAAATACACCACTATACTATACTATACTAGAACACACCCAATTCTCTAATTAACTGGACAAAAAAGTGCAGAAAATAGAAAATGGAGTTGGAAAAATAAAATAGAAATCACCAATCCACTAAACTAGGTTACCATATAGGCCGCAATCTTTAATTAGACAACGATTCAACATTTTCTACACATGAATTGGCAGTTATATTAAGCCCTAAGTTTTTTTTGAAACTTTCAGCGTCCGGTTAGTAGTAGCAGGTAATTGGAAGCATTGAAAGGACTAGAGTGAAACCATCATTGTCTATTCCCTTCAGATTAGGATCTGATCTGGAGAGTTCCAGACCGCAGAATACAGCTGAACAACCGGCGCCTGCTCTCTCTCCTTCTGCTGCTCCTGTTCGATGATAATGTTGTTGCTGCGCTGCTCTACTTTCTCCAATCCTTCATTTACTCAGTTCTTTTTCCTCACAAGAACTTGAGACCCAAATTAAGTTACGACTCATCCGCTCATGGGTCAAAAAAAGAATGGTCAAAACTCGTTTTGTTTTTATTTACTTGATTAGCATTTCGAAAATGAAAATGCCATATTGCTTGACTAATACTATATTTGGTGCTTTTGGTAGATAAATTCTCTATATTACCCCCATAAAGTGCACATGAGAATAACTTTTGGGATAATATGGTAAGCCATGTGTAACCAGGGCCACAAACTACGATTTCTCTCCCTCCTCCTCAAATATTGTGTTAAAGGATATGGGTCAAATATATGAAAACAAATGAAGTATATATATTGCCTTGTTTGTTGTGAGGAGATGAATAATTTTAGGTGAGATTAAGAATGAGAATAAAATTGCTCTATTTCCATGATTTTATTACATGTTGGGGTAAGTAAATAGAGATGGGAATTGAGAATAAAGAGGAAAAGACCATTTGCCATTAATGAAAATATATGAATATAACATTTTTTTTTTTGAATGGACATGTATGGATATAACATTAGTAAGGGTGTTATTACAAACATGATATTTATTCTCAATCAATTCCGTTCACAACCCAAACAAGGGATTACCAATACTCCATTTTATTGAATTCCTAACCATAAATTCCCAATTTCATTCCCAACCCTTTAATCCCCAAACACCTATTCCACTTACCAGACGCCCCGTTTTGTTTTTCACAATGTTCAACACTTCAAGTCATGTTAAATTTAATCTTATATAGGCTATTTTCAGCTCAACTTACTCCGCATTTCAGAAATAATTGGATCTTTTCATTTGCATTTATATACCTTTATTTTCGAGAGTGAAGGATAACTCAAATGTTTAGAACTTCCCTCCAACCTTGTTAAACTTTAATTATTTTTGCTAATCTTAAATTTTTTCCCTAATTTTGTTATTATATTCGTTCATTAAAGTAAATTTTACAAAACTTCACTTATTTTTGTTTTGATAAATATAAGAAACTACACCTACTCCGTATAGTATTTTAATCGAGCAAAGCTCTTCTTACAAAAATCTTACCCCCTAGCTTAAACATCACTTCATGTTGTAAAAAAAAAAAAAAAAGTGTTAATTTTCAAATGGCCACAATAAAATTGTGGCTATTGTATTGAATCAAATCACAACCGTTCAATTCTATTGACTAATGTGAACGGTTGATATGATTATTTAAAAAAAAAAAAAAAAAAACGGCAAAAAAAAAAAAAAAAACGTTCTTATCAGTTATATGTTTCAGTTTCTTCTTTGATTATAACGATTGGCTCCAAGTTCAACCATTATTGTCGTCTTTACTGTAATTTTTCGTGAATCCACACTTTGCTTTATTCAGTATTTTTCCCATTACACTAGCGAATGAGAATTAAGTGGAAATCGTTGACAATAAGTTTGACGATAAGAATAATAGGAGCGTATCTATTTTCGAAATTCGCGCATAGTGCTACTGTATGGCATTTGATCCACTCAATTTTAGCCTCTGAATCTCGCATTCAAATATAGTTGCTTGAATTAAAGAGTGCTACTCCACTAAACAATTTTTTCTTGATTACAACTACTTGATGCATTGGCAATATTAAAAAATACAGCAGTTTGGTCTTTATACTTTAACTGCTAGTAATTCTTATTGTTTGGTCAAATTTATTTTTTTTTTTAATAAAAAATATCAATGGCTCACATTAGTCAATAGAAATAACTTGTTGTGATTTGTTTTAATACAATGGTGATAATTTTATTGTGGCCATTCAAAAAAAAAAAAAAAAGAAATTCAAACAGATTAGAATTCATTCAAAATTAATGAAGTACAGTAAAAATCACAAATTTGTTGAATTTGAGTAGTGCAATGAGGAATGGATTAAAGAGGGGTAAATACAAGTTTCTCTTATTGATTAACAAGATTGTATCTCAAGAGGGTAAATTTGTAATTTCGACAAATAAGTTAGAGTTAATATTGTAACTTTGTAGAAGAATGGAAGAAGAAGGTAGAACTTCAATGGAGTTATTCACAGCTTCAATGGAGGAGGAAGCAGATTCAATGGAGTAATCGAAGCTTGGGAAATAGTTTCAATGGAGGATGACAATAACCTTTTCCGTTTGGGGTTAACCATACCCTAATTTTTCTATTTTTTCTTAGGGTTTTCGTTTAATTCGGCGGCGAAGCCATCGGAAATTTAGTGGTGGAGATGGTGGTTTATGCGCAGCTCCAATGCAGGAGGAAAAGCATGAGTAGATGGAGGAGGAAACTAGTAACAATGGTGATTTGCGAATTTCGATGACGGAGATAAACAGGAAAGATGAAGGAGAAAAACAGGGAAATAAAAGTACAGAAAAAAAAGGTACAACTAGAAAAAATATAAAATATTAAAATTATTGATATTATTCACAATTGTGCCATCTTTGAAAAACAATTATTTTGTTTCTCAAGAAGAGAAACTGAGGCAGCCCCATTAAAGAGCGCCCAAAATGGTACACGTACGCTTCACTTAAGCATGCAACAAACCATGTGTCACATACTCAAATACACATCATGATCAAATCAACCGCATGCATGCTTTATCCTTGACCATCTTCAATTGATTCTTTGCATTACAAAATTATATAAACCGGCCGTGAAAAAGGTAATACACAACACGGCCGTGTGAGTTTGGAGAGAAAGAAAGACATTGAAGATGTGGAAAAGGTGGATTATTGGAGGGAATCAGGAGCTGAAGAGATTAGCAATAGAGCGAGTACAGAAAGTAAGAGGATACTCTACTAAAAGGGACGATTTTCCTACACTTGAAGGCCACCCTGCTGCCCAAACTCATGCAGAGGAAGCCGCAACATCACGAAGGAGAGTGAAGCAACACGCAACGCCGACGACTCAGGCTCAACCGCTGCCGAAAGAGTTCCAAATATACCGTTGGAACCCTGACTTGCCCAACCAAAAACCCTTTCTTCAGTCCTTCTTCGTCGACCTCTCCACCTGTGGCCCCATGGTACATATATATATATATATTTTTTTTTTACGCAACAATTCAAGAAATCTACTTCAAATATTGACTATATGTATAACTAATAATTGATACTTGAAGAAAAATATAGTCACGTGTGAGATATTGTAGCTTCATCTCATCATCTATTTCCAATAATCAACTTTTTACACCTTTAATTACTGATAATAAAAAATATATATATGGGGAAAGTTATAAACTGAAAAACATAAAAAAAAAAAAAAAAAAAAAATCAAAATGTTATTAGCAACTACTAATTATGATCATATTATTCGTATGATCGTATCATGCATAATTGCATATGATCATCTGTTGATTTATCTTTTTTTCAGTAATACTTTTTTTAACTTAATTATTAAGAAATGTTAGACTGGTTTGAGCTATTATGGATAGGTATTGGATGCGTTGCAAAAGGTAAAAGCAGAGGATGACTCAAGTTTGAGTTATAGAAGATCATGCAGGGAAGGAATTTGTGGGTCCTGCTCTATGAATATTGATGGCCTTAACACTGTGGCTTGCCTTAAGCCCATTGATTCTGATATTACTAAGCCTACCACCATCACTCCCCTTCCGCATATGTTTGTTATCAAGGATCTCGTCGTCGATCTCACCAATTTCTATAATCAGTACAAGTATATTACTAACACATTCCCCACATATATACCATGCTGTTGTTACTTTTTTTAAATTGATACTTTGTACTTCCTAATATTACGTGTATTGACATTTGTGAAAGTCAAAATCTTACAATTAAAAGAGAACGGAAGGATGTATAACATGCACATGTGCCTAAGGCAGAGCTTTAAGTGGGATACTGAGACTTTTAAAAGTGGCTACTCCCATTCTATACTAGTACTCGTATACTGAATAGTGTGTAAATTTGTCTCATTTTAGTACAAGCACAATGTTCTTGAGCTTTATAACTAGTTAAAACATGAAATTGTGTAGGTCGATTGAGCCGTGGCTAAAGACGAAGAAGGGACCAGAGGATGGGCGTGAGCATAGGCAATCGCCCAAAGATAGGAAGAAGCTTGATGGATTGTATGAGTGCATATTGTGTGCATGTTGCACCACTTCATGCCCTGCATATTGGTGGAATCCAGAGAAGTACTTGGGTCCAGCAGCTTTGATTAACGCATATCGATGGATTTCGGATAGTCGAGACGATTATACCAAGGAGAGATTACAAGCTATAACAGATGATGATATGAAATTGTACAGCTGCAGAGTTATCAAGAATTGCACTGCAGCATGTCCTAAGAGCTTAGATCCTGCCTCTGCCATTAACAAAATGAAGATTAAGGATAAGCTTTTGATATGAGTATGATAACAAGTAGCAAATTTAAATTATGTATGTTCATTTACTGTTGTATTTTTTTTTATTAATCTTGCTTAATTTCCTTAGTTTTTTGGATTACCATCTTTCTATAAGCTAGTCTTTAAGTTTAGCCGCTTGGATGTTATGAAGTTCTTTCTTGCTGGTAGACTGCACTACAAAATAACAATTGTAATTTAATTGGTAATCGGTAAGAAAGAGTTTGATTGTACAATGGTATTCACCGTACAATCGTGCAAGATACGACCAAAGTTTTATTTTCCTTTGTGCCTATGAGGTATAATCATACGAGTAAAGAAATAATCTTGGTTGTAATATGTGCATGACACTATGACAGAGATGGCATAACCAGTTGTACATTATGAAAGGATCACAATGGTAATGGAATAAACATATTAATACTCTAGAAGGGGGGGGGTTGAATAGAGTATGGGCGTTTTTCGCAAAACAGAAAATGTCAAGGCCTTGAGATCAGTTACAGGGCGAAATAAACTGATCTCTGTTTTACAAATCAAGACTTTGAAAACTATTTAAAGTAAAACAGTTAGTAAGCAGAAGGTTATAAACGTTTGTTTTGGATTTTGTTAAAACTGTTTAAAACAAAGAACGAAAGCAAGAATAAGGCAAAAATAAAAACAGAAATAAACACAAGGAATTGTTACGAAGTTCAGCACAAAGGCCTACGTCTCCGCCTAGGGTTGTCCAACCCGTAGGATTTTAACCAACTTTTATTTCTTCCCTTAGAGTTCTAAAGTAACCTAGAAGATCTCACTATCTTCTCTCCGTAGTACTTCCCACTACACCTTAAACACTCAAATCCTAGAAATAAAAGCTAACACACTCAAACAACTTCGAGTATTATAATTTTACTACGAAGTGTATCACTCAAGTATTACAAAGTTTAGCACAAGTGAACACTCGTATTTTTCCCTCACTTTTAAGTAATGAAAAGTAGTAAACAATGAGAGAATTAAAGCTCTTAGAATAGCACAAGACTTCTTGAAAAACTTGGATAATGAAACCGGCTGATCTTCATGCTATTTATAAGGCTTTGAAGCCGACTTTAAAACGTTGCCAGCAGTTTCTGGGTCTTCAACAAACTCCAGAAATTTCGAAGCTTTCAAATTCAAACTTCAAAGCTGCTTTTAAATTCAACGTTTATCTTCCAGCTAGAAATCTGTTACAGCATACTTAGCTTCCTAAAAACCAGGTCAGCAAGCACAAGTAACAACAATATTTATCTTAAACAGAAATCTTATCATATTCAGAAAAATTCATCAACCAAATAAGATAAATAAATACATTTGACAGAAAATATTATCTTAGAAACATAAAGATAAAATCAGTTACTTAAAGAATAATAAAAACATAAACATGCTTATAGCAGAATATACGAATAGGTTAGCATACTTAGCAGGATATATTCGAATATAATTTGACATAATCATAAAATAAGCTAAGATAAATAAACTAAACATATTAGCATATTAAATAAACACTGACTATTCATTTTGACTTCCATCATCCAATATAAAACTAAGTAGGAATATAAACGAAACAACAAGGGAAACAACAAGGTGGAGTCATCACATTAGATATTGTCATGGAACTCTACATAAGATAAATAATACGTAGTGCTATGGAGTAAGCAATCCAAAGTTTACGTAGCAAATCCCTAAAATGAACCTCTCTAAAATGAACCTGTCTTTTACTTGGGATCAATGATTAAATGACCCCTTTTTTTTTTTTTGGGTGTGATGAGAATCAATCTCATGATCTTTTGGAACCAGGAGAGAAACTCTAATCACCTGAGTTATCCCTCCCTAAATACCAATGTGACCCATTTATCATATTTTGTAATGACCAAATTTACGAAATCTAACCCAAATTCGACCTGTCGACCTGAATTAATAGGTCTAGTTATCGAAAGCTTTTAACGTTAAAATGACGATGTATTATGACAATGAAATACGCAATAATGAAAAGACACACCCTTATCTTATCTGAACTTCTTTGTATGAAATAAGTAAAAACAATGTGGGGGAGTAGTTTTAGCAACAATCCTAAAGGGGCAAAGTGGGTCATTATGAAATTGATAAAAGAAGTTGCCGCCAAATCAAGAGGTGACTCCTTTCTCAAGAAAAATCCAACAAACACGCCTAAATTACCCAGTTTCTTCAATACAGCAACCAAGTGACCAAACTGCCAACAGAAGCGAGATACAGAAAATTGAGTCCAATGCAACACTCCGATTAGCTGCCAACAATTTTTCCATCAAAATTTCATTTATTCTCAATTTCTTCTTTAAAACCCTATTCAATCGATTCAAAAATTAGTAGTTTGGTGATCAATGTTTAGGTCAGCTTTTCTCTCTCTTCGAGGACGCTCGAAGCCCGTTAATCTTCTTCAACGGTTTGTCATTACCTTTTCTTTCCTTTTTTTTTTATTCAATTTTTTTTTTCAAATTCTTGAATTAAGCTTGATAATATGCAGCATTGTACTTCAATTTTGTATTTTCAAATTTTTTTGATGAAGTGTTGTTTGATACTAGGGTTGAGTTATTGATGCATATTTACATTTTTTTTTATGTTACGTAGCGTAATTTTGGTGTAAATTTGGTTCAAAATTAGGGTTTATGATTTATTGAAGTTTCTGAGAGAGTAATTCGTTGTTTTTCTTAATTCGGGAAGCTGATTTTACGAGTTTGGTCAATATTGTAGAGGTTTTGATTTTGTTGTTGATTTGTCAAATTTTGCTGTCACTCGGATTTTGTTGTTTAAGTGTTGAGGTAATTATTTTGCAATGGATTAGCTGTGATGATTGATATGTAGTAAGAAGTAATAGGCCTAATATTGCGGTTTAAAAACATAGATGGAATCATACTATGATGTTAGGAGTAAATGATTTGGAACTTAGTGCTTGTTTCTGTGGCTAATAGTGTTTCACTGTTGTAAGAATCTCATTAGGTTGAGTAATAGATAATGAGCATAAATCGACCTTGGCTCAACTTGCTGAAGTGCATACATGTCCAAGCTGGGTTCCATCTTCAACCATAATAGTTGCCATTTGCTAATGGCTAGAGTAATTCTCAAGTCATATGTACTCTAAGTTGTACTACATATAATCTTTCAACGTGGGATGAACTCTCTCCCTTGTACTTCCGCGGGATCACTTAATGGTCTAGTTTTTAATTTGACTGAAATATGGATATTTACATTATTTAGTGAAGTAGTCAACAAAACAATACAACATTATGCTCGTAATCTATATTTATTATAAATAATAGGTTTACAATGGCCGTGTATGTGAACATACTTATCTGTTATTCAACTTTGACATGATCTCCCTTTAGGGCTTCAAGTAGACTACAACAAACCCTGTATTTCTTGGTCTATGAGTGAGATTGGATTAGTTTCACGTCTTCACGATTTAGGGGTCTTGCAGAGGACCTTGCTTTTGCATTAGTTAATATTGTGCCTGCAGAACAGCAAAAACCATCTACTCCGGTTTGGTCATATTCAGTTTAATTCCTCTATCAAGCCATTAATAAATTTTGCATTGGAAGCCCAACTTCAGGGCATGGATGTTTTCCCTTTCTTCTATTTTATTATGTCGTTGTGCATCCTTTGCCATTGACAGACGATCAATGCACAGTCCAGATAATTCTATGACAAAGAATATGTATATTTTCTTATCGGTGATTCAAGTTGCAGATTTTTGTTAGAGATTATGAGCTTTTTCCCTACTTACAAAAAATCTGTGCATGATCAATTGTTAATGTTCTAGAAGGTTGTTAGTTTGCGCCTGCTCTGTTTCTAGACTATCTGTTCTCTATTATTAATTTCTGCTTTATTAGTATATTAAGGTTATCTTTTGGTCTTGGCATCAGAAAATTTAATTTTTCCCTGCAATATAGAGCAAGCTCATGAGAGCTCATCAATATCAAATGACGTGTCCTGTATCTGTGGCCTTTCTGAATTTTTCTCAAGGCACAGATTCTTTCTTGGCGTTGATATCATCTTCAATTCTTATGTCTGATGATCTGATTCAAAATATAAAAAGATCGAATTTAGTTATGTATTTAATGCTATACTTCTGAATATGAATTTAAGAGGTTTCTTTTTCCTTTTAGGTTTGATCCATCAAAACGGTGCCCGTGTCGTCGTGGTTATGCTAAATCAACGAGACAGTCATCTGAAAGATCAAATAGCCATGAATTACAGTTGGAGATGCATCCAAGTACCAAGACTACTAATTATAAGCCATTGATGGCTCTTGCTATTGTATGTATCTTAAACTCCATTTATTCAGTCCAAAACAAGGGTGTTATTTATCATGGATCTTTATCAATCTAATTTTTGCTGTTAGATTGCTTTATTTTGTTGTCACTTTTTCTGTGTTTAAAGGTTCTCAATTCTCATCCTGCTCAAATTAATTAAAATATTCAGCCTGTTGCTTTGCTTGGACTGGCTGGTTATGCTCGTTACAATGATGAGAAAAGAGCTATCCAGAAAGGTACTCTGATTCACACACACACACACACACACACAAGCACTTGCTTTAATTGTATTTTATTTTGATGAATACTCTGTATTTCTTTTATTTTATGCTGGAAAACCTCATCACTCAATGTTTGAGGCCAGTAAATTTCATTGAATTATGCTTCTTTGTTATCTTTGGGATAGAGAGAATTACTTGTTTAAACCTCAGCCTTGATAATGACAGAGGATTCAAAGTTTGTCCCCGGATTTCCTGGTCATTTACTAATACTTTGGCTTTGTTCGACTTGAAATTTTTTTTGAATATCACAAAATATGCTCCCTGCATATCTTTTTATTTTCTTCCCGAATTTAGCTTATTTATTTATGTTTTTTAGTACTTGTCATTTTTGAATACTAATGCAGTATTCCCTTAGTGAAACTGAATTTGCCATTTAGAATTCGAAAGGAATTTTGTTGATCACATTTGGATACTGGTGCAATAATTGTCATGTTTCAAATTCTTTATACATGTGCGGTGAGCCAGTGACCTAAATTGCATGTTTTTGTTTTATTTTTAATTTTTTAATTTTAATTTTTTTTAATTTTGGGAGGTATCTTCTTTGAGAGACTGCAAGTTAGCTCTGGGTGGCTTAACACTTTTCTTTTTGAAATTGAATTAGCAATATGTTGATTGACCAAGCCCTTTCTTCAAGCAATGAATTATACAATAATGATAGCTGGAGCAGTGAAATTATATGTTTTTGATTGACATGTCTGTTGTTTCCCTCTTCCAATTCATCAGGTGAAGGATCAAGGGAAGGAATGACTGTCAAGGGGCCTATTATTGGTGGTCCTTTTGAGTTGATTAATACTGATCACCAAATAGTTACTGAGCGGGATCTTCATGGACATTGGGTACTCTTATACTTTGGTTATACATCATCACCTGATATTGGGCCAGAGGAAGTGCAGAAAATGGCAAAGGCCATTGACATTTTAGGTTCAATGCATTCACCTTAATTTATCAATGCTTTTTTTGTTCTTGATTGAGATAAATTGCTGACATTTTCTATTTGTTGTCACTAGAGTCAAAACATAATGTTAAGCTTCTACCTGTTTTTGTCACAATTGATCCCCAGCGTGACTCTCCTCAACAGCTAAAAACGTATCTTAGAGGTGGTTTTTCTTATTCCATTTAAATGTCTTCATCCAAACTTATTATATTATGTAATGTGCCGAGATCTGAAAATAGCTTACAATTGATGCCTCATTTCTACTCCTTCAAGAATGCAGAGTTTGATCCAAGAATAGTGGGGTTAACTGGATCTGTTAACTCTATAAGGCAAATAGCACAAGAATATCGGGTTTTTTTTAAGAAGGTTGAAGAGGATGGGAGTGACTATCTGATTGAATCATCCCATAATATGTAAACTTTATTCCCTCTGAAACCTTTTATTCCACTTTCTGTCCAGTGAGATTGCATTTTCATGGATGTGATGGATTGTGTAGGTACTTGATAAGCCCAAATATGGAAATAATGAGATGTTTTGGGGTAGAATATAATGCTACAGTGCTGGCAGATGCTATAGGCAAAGAGTTGTAGAAGCAATCTGGATCTTCCTAGAGGTAAGAGAGATGCTATTTTTTTTGGGGAAAATTTATTTGATTCATCTTTCAATGTAGGGTAAGCCTGTCAATATCCAAAATTCTCTATAAGAATATATGCATTTTGTGCTATAGATACATGTGTCTTATAACTTTAAGATTCACGAAATTTTAGGATATCCATTTCAATAAAAAGCAGCTCCCAGCCCTCTATAAGTAATATAATGATATCATACATTAAACCTTTGTAGAAAGGTAATGATTTTAATGTGTTCCATTTGGAAAGTTCTGGCTTGCACATGCTATGAGAGAATTGCTGTACTGTGGCTAGTTTATTGAATCTTTTTTCAAGATCTTCATCCACTAGTTTGGCACTGGCTGTACCCTGTCTGAATGATATGCAGCTACATTTATATGAGTTGATCACTGTCTCTTGCTCTCAAGTACTGGAGATTTTGACATGAAAAGTGCAAGTGCAATTGAAGTCTTGTAATTTTGTGATACCGAAGTTCTTAATATAACCTTTGAGTTTACATGTGATAGACATGGTATTTAACCTATCTTGGATCAAGGAAATGTAGGAGTATTTATTCTGGAATGGAAATTAGGCTAAAGCTGAACTTAAAGCATAATTGAATCCTAACCATAGCTAGTTTTATAAATGAGGGATACTTCACAATTATAAGGATTGTCTAGTTTGGAGTGATATTTTTATCTTACTTTTGTTGTGCAGGGTGGGAGGACGGAGTAAGGAGGTATATATTAGGTGGATGGGTGATTGAAGTCCTTAGGAACGGTCATAGATAGCACGCCACTTTTCTTTGTTTTCTTTTCTTCCCAGCATATTCTGTTTGCAAAAATATAAAACAAATAATGTCATCTATTACCTAACTATTTACCATTCCTTGACAGTGTGTTTGGATATTAAAAAGGGAAGGAAAAGAAGGGGAGGGAGGGGAAGGGAAGGGGAGGGGAGGGAAGAAAGATGAGTTTTCCTTCCAAATCTCTCCATTTATGGAGAGATGAATTTCTTACAATTTAATCCCTCCATTTCTCTCCCCTCCAATTCCCTTCCTTTCTCATTTATCATCCAAATAAAAGATAACCAATCCCTTCATTTCCCTTCCCTTCCTTTCCCTCCATTTCCTCCAATCCAAACACACCATGAGAGAGTGAGAGTGAGAGAGAGAGAGAGAGAGAGAGAGAGAGAGGAGAGGGGGGGGGGGGATCAAAGCTAGAGGATTATCCCAGCTAATTTGAGTTTCAACTCCATAATGATATATAAAATCATAAATCATTTGTTCTCATCACAACAATATAACTTTCACACTATTTATCTGTTACACTTTGACCATGTTTGGTGATTTATACTCCCTCCGTTTTTTTAATAAATAAAGTGTTTTCCTTTTGCGGTCATGTTTAAATAAATGAAACGTTTTCTTTTTTAGTAACTTTTTTCTATTTTTTAATAATATTTTATCTATTTTTTAATAATACTCTATTAACTAATGGTCCCCACACTGCCCCTTACTTTATTCTCTCTCTTCAAAGTTATACCCCACTACCTACTATTTTAATAAATTCAACTAATTTTCCTAAAACTCCTTGAAATTTAAAACGTTTCATTGATTTAAAAACGGAGGGAGTACTTGATTAAAAAAATATAGCAATGAGAAATGTTGGGGATTCTTTTGGATTTGTCAAAGTACATATCTTTATAGTATCAACTTTTAATATTCAACCAAAAAAAAAAAAACCAAACTTTTAATAAGTGGTACAAGTCCTGCATTGGCAAAATTGTTGCAACTAATGATGAACAAAGGAAGTATGAAGGATGAAAGCTCTGTAGGCTATCGATTTCATTATATTCATATGATTTGGAACTATGTCGCATGGATATGGCCTGGGAACAGTAAAATGGTTTGGTAGGTAGCAAGCAGATCCAGATTATGAAACCCAAAATATATAACAAAACACCACTCTTAATTACCAATAGTATAGAAACTGATAATCTGATATCAGCAACATTTTCATTTTTCACTATTGATGACGTGAGGCAGGCTTGTTGGCTATTATGTTATTTTCATTTCTTAAGAATAAATTTTGGAAAGCATAGCCAGATGGGAACGTAGATATCTCAAGGATGAAAGAAGTCTAGGTCTGATACTATGATTCAATTACTTAAAGAACTTTACAGAGTATTTTTAGTAAAACGTGTTTCTAAACTCGGAAAAATGCAACTCGTGTAAAGCAGGGTGGCATTTTTCTTATGATGAGAGTTGACGAGCTGCAAGTCATTTATTACAAAAGTATAATAGCCTATAAACATCCGTAATTACTACGTCCGTACTATCGTTCTCTGGCATGAATCCTTTCTGGATATGGCGAATTGCTGATGCAGTTGACCTTACCATAAAAGATGTTTGTTTGTGCGTCTCAATCATTTCCAGAATAATGTTCTGGTGCATCTTGGTGTAGAAATGCAAGTTGGAACTTTTTCAACATAATGTAGGTAACTAGATATCTCTGTACTTTCTTTAAAGTATGGATATCTGCTTATGGTGTTGACCTGCACGTTGTTGCAAAATAGTGTACGACCTGGTCCTGAATCAATTTTCATCATTATTGTGATACAAAGTCAATTTTGGTAAAATGTCTTATCAGCCTAGGGATGGCCGACAAAGGTATAGAATGAGGAATGATTTATTTATATAATAATTATTATATACATCCCCTAATTGTATAATAACCTTCTTGTTATGTAACGATTATAAAGTATAAACACATTCAATTCTTTTTATTTTTTATTTTATTTTTAATTTACTTATTCCTTGTTCCTTTAGGATGCAAAAGATCCCATTTGTGATGGAATCAAGTATTTTGGATATCTCAGGCTCGTAGTTAGGTGGAGGATACACGACGCCAACTTACTTTCTGATTTTTAGCTTCTTGGAAACTTCTCAGATTAGACCTACTTTGGAGGACATGGCTCAGTCTTATGGATTGTGTGTTCCTGCTATCTGGATTTTAATACTGATTGTTACCCAAGCTTACTTTTTTTATTTTGCCATTTCATTAACGTAGGTTGAGCTTTGAATAAGTAGCCTAAGACAAATCAAATGTGATTTGATTTGGTATAATATTATAGAGAACTACCCTTTACGTCGTCATTGACTCAATTGTAGAGTTTTTTAATCCTCTTGGTTTTACCAATTTTTGTTTATTCACTCACTTGACTACTCTCTAGTCTTTATCAGATGGAGTAATGTTTAATTGCAAATGAAACGATTGATGTTGTCAAATACAAATGGTTATTCTATTATGAAAATTTAAATCTAGACATTTCTAAACATATTGTTGTCAGAATTCTTAGAAGTAGAGGCGACTCAGTGACTGTAGGCTAAATTGATGCAATGTGAATCAGTATTTAAACTATAGGCTTGTTTTGATAGCATGATTAGCATCAAGTTTTCCCGGTTGTCTTTAACCAGTCTCCTACCTAGGTTGAGTACGGCAGCATGCTGAGCTGATTTATTTTCAGGCTTGTTAAAGTGACATACGGAGTACATTATTTATTTATTTATTTCAATGTGAAAATTAACTGAAAATCTAAAAAAAAATAAAAGGGTTATTACCTGCTTATTAGGACCCTGACTAGACTTTAAGCCTCATAATTTTTTTGGTCTAATATTTAATAAGATTCAAACCTTAGACCTCTAGAATCTAAGTTAAGTTTCAAACCAATTAAGTGAGCCAACATAACACTTTGTTGGTGGTTGTTGATAGTTTAAGCTTACATAATTTTAGATGTCGTGTATTTTATACGCACCACCTTGGCAATGTCGGGATGTACCTTTCTTAAGGTGGAACTGTTTATATCTTGCAAATACAGAGTGTTAGAAATATTTAGCATAGGCGTTTTCTTACCATATGGCATATATAGAGTACTCCGTAAATTTTTAATATCTGAAACAGCTGTAAGGGAAAATTCTCGTGAGCAAATGATGAAAATGGTAAGAAATCAAATTGCACTAATTGCAGATACTCTCCACAGTGTGAAATCTCGTATGCTAAACTGCTAATCTTGAAATTGTTAAGTATGTGGCCTGGTGAAGATAATTATCAGATTAGCTGACGATAATTACACGTCATTTGTGATTAATTTTGGAAAGAAATTTTTTGTATTACGTAATACAAGTCATATTTGATCGGGATTTGAATTTCCAGCTGGAAAATAAAAATAGAACATTAACTAGGATTTTATTGCCCTTTACTGAAGAAGTACAGTCTGAAACTGCTATGTTCTTGGACCTTTATGGTACAAAGATTACTATACTTTGTATTACGGCAAAAATTAGTACAAAGTTCATTTTTATCGAAAATGACCCCCCCAAAAAAAAAAAAAAGTTGAGTTTTAATTTTTTTTTTTTTTACTAGTAACTGACAGCTCTTTGAGAGAAATCAGATAGTAAAGTAGCTAGTAATCATACTTGGAGTTAATACTCACGTATAAAATTTACGCAATTACGTCTTTCTTTTCCTCCCTTCAATCTTTTTTTGTAAAGTATTTTCCTATATTTTCTGTGTTCCCTCAAAAAAAAATATTTTCTGTGTGTAATTTGAGGACAAGGACTCAACACCAAAAATTATGGGGATGTTTTTTTCTTAATTTGTTTATTAGATTTAAAAGAAATATAAATTGGTTTCTAAAAATTTAGAGATCCTGATTATCCCCAAATGACCTGGTCTCCTAGCTTTTCTCCTTCCCATCCACCAACCCCATTTTTTTTTTCCTATGGAATCAAGTTGACAATTGAGGAAAAATAATTTGGAAAAAAAATATAATTAAACATATTTTATTTAAAAAAATCCTTCAAGTAAAAACCTTTTTGAGCAAAATCTTTGAAATAATTATTTTATATTTATTCAAAACATAAGTTGGCTCCCACCTTTTCCCCCTCCTCTTTCTTTCTCTCTCTTGCATTGCATTGTCAATATTTGGTTGAATATCTTGAACAAAGAATAAAAAGGGTGATCAAATTAGGAAAAAATCAAAGGTAATAAGGTTGGCATTTTTGGTCTCATCTCTTTTTTGTATGATAAAATGAGATGATTGATGATAACATAAGATGAACAGCCCTGCTTTGTAAGGGAGGGTTGTTTTTTTCCCTCATCCTTTTCATTTTTGAAACTTTCAATTTCGTTTTTACAGTTTCACATGCATGGATGCTGGGAATTCTTCCTGGAGTAGGCTGGAATAGATGGTGTTAGATTGGGATTATCGTCGGGAATAAGTCATCGTTGTTACATGTTTGGTAAAAAATCAAGGGAAAACATGAGCAGTGGCGTTTCATCACCAGATCAAAAGAAATCAGGGTGTGGGCTGCTGGGGGCTGTTTTTGGAGGAACAAAAAAATTTTGGCCTAGAAGAGCCACGTCAACAGGCTCCCTTCCTAGTCAACATGGTAGCCTTAATGACGTAGACAGCCCCAAGAGAATTCCGAGTGATAGCCACAATTCCAAGAAGAGACGAGGCAGTTTTGATGACCTTGATGCTAACAGCAGCGTCTCTTCTCAACCTTCCTCAAGCCGCGGTGGCCCTAAACCTCAACAGAAATGCCCTCCTGTTCGATTACAACAGCAGCAACAACATCAGCAGCAGCAACAGCAACATCATGTTAGAAGACCGTCCTCAAATGACACAACCGTAGTGCAAGCTTCAAGAAGCCTGACACCAGCACAGAATCAGAATCGAAGTAATGATCATAACACAAAGAAAATGCCTCCAAAGGAAGCATTGGGGATATCCGGTGAGTTAGAGATGATGATAGCCGAGCACCAGAAGGGTAGAGGCGGGATCAATCTTGTCCGAGCTTCATCTGGCAATGTGATGGTCCAAAGTAGTTTAGGTAACTTGAGGCAGCCTGGGGGATCCCCTTATACATATAAACCAGCCTCCAATGGCAAGCCAGAAGAACAACAAGCTCCCAAAAATATTATAAACTTTTCATCAAAATATTCAAATAGTGGGATGGGGAACATTGTGAACAAGAAGCAGATAGAAAACGGGGAGAAAGCAACAGGTGGGACTTCTCTATGTCGAGCATTGTCTTGTAGGATGGACCCTGAGGAGTTGAAGATATTGGGGAATGAAGATTATAAGAATGGCAACTTTGCAGAAGCCTTAGCTTTGTATGAGCGAGCCATTGATTTGGACCCCTCCAAGGCTTCCTACAGGAGTAATAAGAGTGCTGCTTTGACAGCTCTAGGGCGGCTTCTTGAGGCTGTTTTTGAGTGCAGAGAAGCCATTGGTATAGAGCCCCATTACCACAGGGCTCACCATCGTTTGGCTAATCTTTATCTAAGGTACGTAATTACAATGGCACTTTATTCACCGAACTACATCAGCCATATGATTGGTTCTGTTATATTCTTGGAAGTTTTTTCATGTAAAAAATCTGTACGATTTTTTCAGATTAGGAGAAGCAGAAAAGGCTATCTATCACTTCAAACGAGCAGGGCCGGAAGCCGACCCAGATACAATGAGTAAAGCAAAGCTTGTTCTTGGACACATGAAGAAGTGTGAGGAGGCTAAGAGGTTGAAGGATTGGCACACCGTGCTCAGAGAATCTGGGAATACCATAGGTGCCGGAGCAGATTCTGCACCTATGGTTAGTATCTTTTGCATTGTGTGACTAGTTATTTGTTCAACATAGGTGTAATAGATACAAATTTCAAATACAGCTATGTAAGTTGTTGACATTGCTGATGTTTTTTTGTTTACTTGAACAAAGATATTTGCATTACAAGCTGAGGCATATTTAAAGCTCCATCGGCCTCAAGATGCCGTAGCAACATGGGAAAACGGTCCAGATTTTGATGTGGATCAGTGTACCAAGCTATTTGGCTCTGCAGGGAATGCTATGTTATTGTTGATCAGGGCTCAGGTTGACATGGCTGCAGGAAGGTTAGTCTGTCCCATTTAAAAATATTTTCAAATCTTGATTGTCGTTTGTTGTTTCCCTCTTCAGGCATTGCTAGTATATAAGTAATGTAACTACAAACGAGGGATAAAAGAATGATTTAATTTAACCAAAAAAAGTCAATTAGTAGCCTTAATTAGTTGATAGCATGATGATTTTGCTAAAAATGTACTGTAAGACAGCTCAAAATGTTGGTTGAAGATAGGGGTTAACTGTACATTAATCTAGTAATTCCAACCAATCACACCAACTATGCTTTAATAACTGCTCCAGGTGAATTCGTCGTGTGAATTATTTCTTATTTAATGTGGTCTGCTTACAAACTTGTCAACCAAGATTAGCAAGCTTCTGATTTTAAAAAATATAAAATTCCTCGTTGTCAAATCATTGTTTTCTTTTAGTAGGTGCTGTAGAACTTTCTATCATACTGAGGGTGGTTAATCTTTGTTACTATTGTTCTAATCTAACATTCACTCCTGTCCTAATCTTAGATACTGTTAATTTAAATAAACATCCAGTCATGTCTTACCATTTGCGTGCTGATATACTATTCTTTTGCTTTCTTTTTTTGAGATGATTCATTCCAATTCTCCTAATTACTCTGATTATTTACTCTAGTCCACCACTATACCAAAAGTTTAATTTCATTTATTCTTTTCTAAGTAATGTAAAAAGTCTAATAGTGTGCCATTTTTCATCATATAAAAGCAGGGCCTACATTCATGCTTAGCTATGGTTAATGCTGACTCTTTGGAAATTAATCTCAAATGACTAATCTTATTGAATACTAGTTCAAGAATGGCTCTCTGTTATGTGACACGTTTGATCTAAGTTCTCCTAATAACCTTGAAGGATCAAGCTTTTAGTTATAATGTCATATTAGGTTGGGCACATGCTCAAATTTCTCATTTCTGTGGAATGTTGATGCCACAACTTAATGTTTCATAATACGGCCTGATTTTGTTGTTAATATAGGCACACTACAAGTTTTTTTTCATTTCTGGATTCACACTCAATTTGTGGGAAATTCATAAATCTTCATAATGACATAATGTAAGAAAAAGTAGTTTTTAAACTCTTAAAGGGGATTGCAGGTTTGACGATGCAATGGAAGCAATCCAACATGCAGGTAGATTAGACCCGTCCAACAGGGAGGTGGGTGTAGTGACACGAAGGGCTCGAGCCGTGTCCAATGCTCGAGCTCGTGGGAATGACTTGTTCAATGAGAGCAGGTTCTCAGAAGCTTGTGTTGCTTATGGCCAAGGACTTGAGCATGACCCACAAAATTCAGTGTTGCTTTGCAACCGAGCAGCTTGTCGTGCCAAACTCAGGCAGTTTGAGAAAGCAATAGAGGACTGTACTGCTGCACTTAATGCTCGTCCCTCTTATACCAAGGCTAGACTAAGAAGAGCCGACTGTAATGTTAAGGTATAGGGTTTTTCTTTTCTGATGCAATCCCATTTGAGTGCTAGTTATCTATGCTTCCTTTTTTATGTTATTTTCAATAATAATGTAAAAATAGAATATGTTTGCATACTTTTGACCACTTTTTACTTTCAGCAGTCTTTTTTATAGATTGTTTAACTTTGGGCATAAATACTGTTCTATGTTAGTTTGGGAAAGGCTATCTCTCCTGGCAATCGCTAACTGGTTGCTGTTGTCGTTTATCCTTAATAGATTATGGCATACTACCTGTTTAACACTTGCCTAATTAGTTGAATAATTGGCACATTGAAGAAGGATAATGCTCACGTAATCCACAGTCTGTCATATTTACCATGTTTCATTCCAACACAAGAAGACATCTTTTGGTGTTGAGTCTGTGCATACATGATTGAATTTTGTTTTCTGCAAATATTGTCAGTTGCAAAAATGGGAAGCTGCTGTGAGAGATTATGAAATCCTATTCCAAGAATCACCAGGAGACGAGGACATGGCAAAGGCATTTTTTAAGGTAGAGATGCAGCTAAAGAAGCAGCGGGGAGAAGATGTGTCAAACTTGCAATTTGGAAATGACTGTCTTGTTAAAATCCATAGTGACGAACACTTCAAAAGTGTGACATCCTGGCCTGGTAAACTAACTGTTGTTTAGTGTTCCCAATCATAAATTGAAGTTCATAATATATGCCTAGCAATTTGTATATATGATGGATCATTATGCAGGTCTATCAGTGGCCTTGTTCTGTAATAAGCCAGGCGAGAGACAAACACTGCAATTCATTGGACAACTCTGCAAAAGATACCAAACCATAAAATTTCTCAAGGTCAGTCTCAAATTTTAACTGGTTGATGTTACCACTTTTGAAACTTACGGCCAAGTCAGACACTCAGACTTTATTAGTTATAGTATGCGCTCCATAATCATATGCCATAACACACAAGCTGCCAATGATCATCTGAATTTTAATCCTTCCTTACATTCAGGTCGAAGTTGAAGATTCCCAAAACTTGGTGAAATCCGAGGGTGTTGGCTCATTGCCAGCCTTCAAGATATACCAAAGTGGTTCGAGGGTTAAAGAAATTCGCGGAGAAGATCATGAATCCTTAGAGTGCTCAATCAAAGAGTATACAAGCTAGCATACATGAGAAAAGCATTGTAGAGAAAGTTTGTCATTCTTTCATTAATTTGTAATTTTTTTTTTTTTTTTTCTTTCTCGTGGCTATATTATAGTGCCTGGTTGGAGTGTCAAGAAAAGTTAAGTTTCTTAGGATGCAGCTTTCCATGACTAGGGTTACATATATGGCAGGAAGGAAAAGAAAGGAGGGAACTGCAGCGCAATCTGAATCATTTTGCTTCAATTTAGATTTGATCCTGTTAATTTGCCAGCTTACTCAGCAAATTTCTGTATCAGTTCATTTTGTGGGATGACTTTTGCAGAAAATTAAAAGATATACATTTTGAACTCTCCATATATTTTGTAAGATGAAGTTTATATAGTGTAAAACCACCTTTTAATGTAGAGTAATCATGTTGCGAGACATAGAATGTTAGAAGTACTCAAAAGTAACTCCCAGAGGGATAATAAGGTGGAAATTATTACAATTTTAAAACAGCAAAACGTAGTATGAGACGGTCTTACAGAGACCTAACGTGAGACACGATAGGAATAAAAGAATTTTTTCTTTTCACGTAAATTTGTATAGAACTTAGTCATGGTCTTCAATCTTCATTGAGACTCTCTATTGTCATTTTCTATTGGATCTGGACTCTGGACCATAGCAACCCTTAAGAATGTTGGATAGTGAGGTTTTTGATGGGTATGTAGATATTGTAATGCCAAGTGCCAAGAAAAAATTGAAGGGCTTCATATATATTACTAATATGACTATATGAGTATAATTTATGGCCTTTACTTGGGATAAAATCCTGGATATATGTCAATTTTCATATGTTTCAGTCAATTAAAAAAAAAATAAAAAATGGATTGTAGATTTATAGCTCTTTTAAAACTTTAGATGAATACTAAAATCATTAATCATCTTTGATCGTGATAGCTGACTTGGCTAATTTTGAAAGAGAGAGATTTTTTTTTATGTTTGGTAGTTGAATTTGCACTTTTTATATAACTTCAGATATTGTGAGGCTTACCACTTTTTGCACTCTTATTATGAGTTCCTTCGTATCATTTTGTGAAGGTATTTATTTATTTATCTAATTATTGCGGAGTACTCCGTATATTATAAGAGTTGTTCTTTGCTCAGTGTACAAATTAGTTTGCTATGGCTAATAGCCTAATAGCAAACTTTTTTTTTTTTGCTAATAGCCTTATAGCAAACTTTGTTCATACTCTTTAATCTTTATAGAGGAAACAACCCCCTTAGGACTCCTCATTATTGAACAAGAATTCGTAAAAAAAGGACTTAACTTTATTACTAGTATTATATTAGTCCCACCATTAAACATTTAAACATGAATTTAACCTTTGTCCAACCCATTCTCCACTTCCGCTCAAGCTAACATAGATTACCTCTATTCAATTTAAGATGATTGATCATTTTCTTTCAATGGACCCATTCCTATTACACTAGTCAAAGGTACAATATGATTGATCATGTTATACCTGAGTTGTCACTTGAGAAATGATCCACCTCATTTCATGTATCTTTTGCCAAATTTATCATTGTTCTTAGATAGTTTGATGTAGTAGTTGACCGGATTTGAGATGTGAAATATCAATACTCAATTACTCCATATTTACTTACACATTGTCTAAATAAGTTTGGTTGTTCTTTCGGTAAGAAAAATCAATTATCTTGAAAATATATTAATTGGTATAACAAAATAAACGACAAACTTGAATAGCTGCCATTGAGCAGAAAGTAACTTGGGGTTGTTTGGTTACGCAAAGAAAATGGGGAAAGTGGAAAATTATGAGAATTTGAAAATGGAGGAGTTGTTTGGTTGATAATAAGAAATGTAAACGAAGGAATTGCAAATTCATGAAAATTGTGCCTTTTCACAAAACATGGGAAGTTAATTACCCAACCCCCTAGGTAAGTCAAAATTCCCGTGATTTACAACTTTTTTTTTATTCTAACCAAACAACTTTATGCAATTTCAATTTGATTTAGTAATTTAATTTCCATAAAATACAAATTCCTATAGGAAGAAAATTCCCATAATAGCCAAACGACACGTTAGTAAGTCTTTCCAAATTTAACAAAAAAAAACTACACACATAATAATGAAATCAAGCAAATAATGAACAAATTCACACAAAAAACCCCTCAACAAAACTTTTATTAATATCACAAATAACTTACAAAACCAAGTTAATCTTACCTCAAACTCTCAATCTCATCACAAACCACAAACCTTCAACAACCCTTTTTTTTTATTTGGATTGTTAAAACACAAATTCAAGATGAAGCAACAGACCTCAAAGCAGGAACAGCTTGCTTAGACAAAGAAACAGGACAATAATTTCTAGTAGCAGAAAGTTCATAAGGATAAGAATCAGATTTAAGCCATTGTTCAACATCAAACTTCTGCTGTGCGCACTTAACATGGGGCCCAGTAGTTGTAACCTCAACATAGTTACAGTACCAACCATGGTGTGGGCCCGACCCATCGGAAATCACCCGCATGCCGCAAACTGGTGCTGTTAGACATGGGCCGCGCCCACTGAACACGTCCAAGTTACCCCTCTCGAAGTAGTCGTAGTTTTGGCCCATTAGCCCGCCCCAGCTTTCGATGTCGGTAATTCTAACTCCGTCGCCGTTTTGACCCCATAATTCGAGGCTGATCTTAGAGTCCGTCCCTGCTTTTATGACGGACCCTGTCCTGACGTATATGGTGTACACGCATTCTGACTCGTCACCTGCCTGTTATGCAAAGAAATGAATTTATTTTTTGATTGAAATCATTGGAGAAATTTGTCAAATGTAAAATGTGTAATTGGATTAGACTTACAGATACAGATCGAGCGATCAGAGCCAAGGATAAGAAGACGATGGCGTTTAACAACGCAGGGTTTCTCCCCATTTTGCTGCTGATGAGTGTTCGTTGTTAATTTCTCTCTCTTCGTTGGTAGGAGTGGTGGGAATAGATGTGCGACTTGTGTTATTTTGATGGATCAGTTTTAGCTTCTTGTGGTATTGATACTGACGGTTTAATTATAGATCTTTTTTTTATAGTGGGAACGGAAATTTCTGTGTTTTCGTGTTAATTGCAACACTTTACAAATAACAATTTACAAATACTCGTATTAAGTATAGACTTTTTCTAATTTTATTATTTTTAATGTTGGATCTAGTTAATTGGCACCTAGTAGGGAATCGATCCAAATAATACTAATATTTTCGTATATTTGAATATAAAAGTCATATTGTTAACGCACCTCATAATTAAATATGCTACTTCGTATCTATTTTAATCAAAAATCATATATTATTATTGAATTATTCTCTTGTTTTAACAAATGCATAGTTATCAATGCATTTTATTTTCATAACTTTTATTTGAGGATGAAAAAAATACACAAATGGCAAATAACGAAAGAAACTTCTATTACAACTCTCTGATCCACAATTTGATGGGTTTAGACAAGTGAAAATGATACTCTCTTCGTCCTTAATATTTTACACCATTTGTAGAAATGCACAAATAGCAAAGTACACAAAGAAAGACATGTCTATTACAGTTTTCCACTATTTGGTGGACTAATTGTAAATAATGCTTCCTCTCACCCTATTTAACTTTTCACGATCTTTTAATGTTTTAAAACAATATTATAACGATAATATATATATAGAGATGGTAATCGTCGAAGAAGGGAATCTGAACAAATCTGTAGAAAGGCCGGCATCATCATGTGAGAGCTGACACGAGTATTACAATTATTGTTTGAGACTATCCTCTAATTATAATTAGTATTAAAATAGTTATGCTCACCATGATTATTTACTCTATCTATAAGAAAGATCTCGATCCAAATAGGATCATGTGGATCAGACGATTGAAAGAAGACAAGTCTACTACATTTAGCATCCAAACAGACAATGGAAACCATTCAAACCAATTACCAAGTCAATAAGTCATATATTGTGCTTTAGAAATTAGAATTGTACATAAGTACATAACTTTAATTCATAGGCAACATTGTGAAATTTTAATTTGGCCTTAGCCTTAGGAGGCATTGAAAAACTATTATCAAGCAATATAACCAAAAAAAAAAAAATGATGAAAAAAGCTTCTAAGAGCATCCACAATGGCTAGCTACATGTCGTTGTAGCTAGCAATAGCCACATCATTATTTCCTTAGCCATACCATTTAAGCTACAACCTCCACAATAGCAAGCTAATTCATTTTGTAATTTAGTATGTCCCACTTGAGGACATGTTAAACAAATACACCAATATATGTGCACTGGGTGGAGTGAAACTACATATCTCTATAGTTTGGCCTTAGTTATAACTTATGTAGCTCCGCAATGGTTAGCATGTAGCTCCACAATGTTTAGCATGTAGCTCCACAATGTTTAGCATGTAGCTCTAATCTAATTATTTAGAAATTGCAAGCAGTCTTTTTATGCAACCATTGTGGATGCTCTAATTATTACTCGTATCAATAAAGAAAACGAAGTACTATCTTCTGAAAAAAAAAAATCTCTTAAATAAAACAATAGCTCCATATATACTAATATTAAAGTACATATAAAGTACACCCGGGTGTATAATATCTATCGGGCTTTTTTGATTCACTTACAGTGTTACAACTAGTCTTGAACCTATCCCGTTTGCCAAAACTAATGAATAGTCTTTTTGTAGATTCATATCTAAACCTTAAACACCACAGCTAATTAGCATTATATATGTTGATTGTGACATAAATTGAAGGGCCGGTCGGTTATAAGACTACTTAAACTTGAAACGCCGGTAATTACGTTGAATTGATTAGGAGTATAATGCTACAAGTATATTGCTATAGAATAAATTATGACCGGCACCTCAAGTCATTTAAAAAATTGACATGGATATTACTCTTTGTACAAACTCATTTTTGTACCCCATTGTCTTCTCAGATGCGCTAGTCATTCCACTCGTGAAGAATATCCCGTATTATTACAAACTGGTGCCTAACGCTTTTCCTCTTTTTCTTACCTTTAAAAAAAATAATCATTTAAAAAATTACTCCGTCAAACAAATTTATTAGACGAATCTTTTAAACATTGCTTTCAGGTAGCTAGAAACGTGGCGACTGTCTCGTTTATTATAAAACCTTGATATTAATAAAATATATAATTAGACGAATTTACCAAGATTACACATGAGTATATTACGGAATATCTTTTAAAAATTAATGAGAATTTATCATCAAAGTTATTTAAAACTGAACCAAATGTTAGCTATGAGGCCAAAAAAAAAGAGGAACAAAGGCTATAAGTTGTCCTGGCATTATAAGCATGTCCACACACCTCCAAGATGACAAGATAGATAACATGATGATTTATTTGACACCAGATTAATCTTTGCCATCATGAAGAATACGCCTGGATTAGATTTTAACTTTTGAAATTTTGAGAACATAATAGAACCATCTCAGTTATTGACAGTTGTCTGTGGTTAGTATTGTGATTATCAGCCGTACATACTTATAAAAAGAAAATTGATACTCGTACAATTAGCCTAAAATAAATACTGCACATAATTTTAGTAGACATAAACACACAAGTTTTGTTCTAAAGCAATGTTTGGAGTTTAGACGTAATTGATTAACTATAAAAATCTTAGTTAAGTACATGATTATTTTTCAAAAATGCACTGAATTAATAACTAATACTACGACATACCATAGTACCCCGTATTATTACAAACCTAAACTCCGGTTTTTAGGAAAACAACTAAGGTTCAAGAATCATTGAAATTGTACGTTTTAGTTGCAATAGAGTGCCTATACTGTAACATTAGTACAAAGTACTACTATTATCGTAACCGTATTATAGTGTAATATTACTATATTACGGAGCAGTTCACAATGAATAAGCATTAATTGACAACAATAAGCAAATATTGAAAATAATAAAACTCAAAGAGTATTAAATTGATGATGCATTATTATTTAATTGATCATTCAAAGCTCCATAAAAATAGGAAAACCTACATATGGAAAGTATATCAGCAATGCATCATCAAACCTTATAATAATTCACCTTCATTATCCGATCCAATAATCAACCTCATAATAACGGATAGTTTTCAAATGGCCACAGTAAAATTGCGGTTATTATATAAAATCAAATCATATCCGTTTATTTTTATTGACTAATGTAAACCGTTGATTTATTTTATTTTTAAAATAATTGACAAAAAAAAAATTAAAAAAATATGTACTTATCAGTTTCTCTTTTAGTTTCTTTATTGTTTACTCAATAATTTTTTTCCCTTCACTTCTTTTCGATCTTTGTTCACCCGTTTCTTGGGGTTATTTTTATTGAGCTATGTGAATAATTTTACGGTTTTCAGCTTTCTTGAATTCATTTGTGACTGCGTTTATTAATTATTTTTGGGTCGTGAGAGGTTGATTAATATTACTCCGCACTTAAGAAAAATGACGGAGAATTGGAAAAATCTGAGTGTTTAGAAGATTTGGCCGAGGTCGATTGTCGCTAGTCTAATTCAAAGGACTTAATGGTGGCCAGTTGGTTTTGATCATAGAGATGCTTATTACTCTGATCTGATTAGCTCGTATATAAAAAAATGCAATTGATTTCTGAATGATCTATGATTTAACTGATTGTATAGTATGATGCAGAATCTGGAGTATTTTCGATCTTTTACATAGTAATTTTTTTTTTTTTTTTTAATCTTCCAAAGTAAAATAAAAAGTAAATCATATCAGCGGTTTATGTTAGTCAATAAAAAATAAACGGTTGTGATTTGATTTAATGCAATGGCCACAATAAAGCCACTCAAAAGTCATCCCATAATAACAGCAACAATAATAATTCCTAAATCATATTAAATCAAATTTCAAAACCCAGAAATCCAATTTAATAGGAAGCTGCAGACGACCCTGCACCAGCAAGGAGAATTTCAACAGGAAGAAGAGAACTGTTAGGACGACGTCGTTTAAGTCCATCATCATTGTTACAATTATCCTTAAAAGCCGAAAGTTCATGAGGAGATCTATCTCGAGAAAGCCATTGTTCAATCGTAAACAACTGTTGACCACACTGAATGTGGGGCCCAGTAGTGGTCACCTCCACGTAGTTACAGTACCAACTGTGGTGTGAACCTGATCCATCGGAGGCTAACTCCATTGCACAAACAGGCCTGCTAAGACACGGACATCGGCCCGAAAATATGTCCAGGTTGCCACGCTCGTAGTAGTCGTGGGCCTTTTCCATGAGCCCACCCCAGGCCTCCCGTTGCCTGTGTCATCGTACAAAGCTAAGCTGATTATCGAGTCTGTTCCTGCACTAATCGTCTTGCTTGTTCTTACGTATACTGTGTACACACAGCTGTATTCATCGTCCTGTTAACCAAAAAAAAAAAAAAAAACAATTAATTAATCGATTATCGAATATGTGATGATACTTTGTCTGAAATTAGTTGTCAGGTAGAATTTGAACTGGTAACATGATAACTAAATCCAAAAAAATGGTTTAATAGATGTACTTACTGCGGTGGCGGATAGAGTGAAAATTGAGAGGCATAAGAGGATGGTTAAGTTGGAGAGGATGTGTTTGGTTGCCATTTGGTATGGCGTTTTATTTATTTTTTCTAGTGGTCTGGCTAATTGGAGAGGAGATATCAGAAATGTATTGTGGATCCTTGATACGCAAGTTGAGGACATTATTTTTTGTACTGCCTTTTTTTCATTAGCGTTTTATCATTTGAGGTTGAACGATATACGTGTTTTGGCTTATCAATAATTTATAAGATGTTGATTTCATTTGATTAATTTTTTAGAAAAAGAATAGAATATACTAGAATATTGTTGAATACTTCACCCTCAAAATTTTAAAATATAGTCACCATTTGTTAGTTGTGACTTTAAAGTTTGAAGATTTTTTTTATTTTTATTTTTATTTCCTTCTATATTACTCCGTATATAAATTCATAGGGTGTGGCATCCGTAGCCAAAAACAAAATTTCATAGGCGTGGCATCCCTATCCAGCCAATGCTCCACAAGTAAGAAGTGATGGGTGCATGGAA